AGCAAAATAGTGAGCAACACAGGAAGCATCAAAACAAGATGGGAAAAATACAGAGTCACTCTACTAAAAACAATGAATAGCTGTCGGACCATTTCAGGAGGTAGTACGATAAAGAACCAATGGATAATATTTGATCAAGGACTATTTCATTTTAGATCAACTAAGATTTCCAAGCTGCATTGAAGTTGTTGCTGAAAAACGAGGCTTCAGCAATTGATGGAATGCCAATTGAGATTTTCCAACAAGCCTATTGAACAACGGTAGCACTCACTCGTCTGAGCCAATCAACTAGAAGAGATCAATGTTTGTGCCCATTTCCAACAGAATGCAGAAATTGTTAAACAATAACATCGATATCAAATGCAAGTAAAATTTTGCTGAAGATAATTTTAAAAATGTTTGCTGCAGTACATCGACAGGGAACTGCCAGAAATTCAAGCTAGAGTCAGAAGAGCAAGGGATATCACTGTTGATATTAGATGGATCTTGGCTGAAAGCAGAGACTACAAGAAAAAATTGTATCTGTGTTTCATTGACTATGCAAAGGCATTCTACTGTGTGGTTCATAGTCAACTATGGATAACATTGCAGACACCAGAGTCTGGAGGTCAGGAGGGTGAGGTGGGGGTACATCTGGGGTCACCCAATGTGTGTGTGTATGTGTTTGTGTGATCAGAAGGGAGTCCACTGATGGGGGCAGACCTAAGTGCAAACTCTGGGGCTGCCGCTGGGGTTAGTAGAGTAAGGGTGAGGACCAGCTGACTCTGGTGATCAGTGGACACAGCAGAGACAGAAGATTCCATAGAATTGGGGGATGGCAAAATTGGGGTGAAGTGTAGAAGTAGTAGAGGGACCATGGGGCCCCGGGAAGGACTTTTTTCAGTTGCTGTCAAATCAACCCTAACTTCCAGGAACCCTAACTCAGAGTGACTCCATAGCATTTTCAAAGGCTGAGTTTCCAGATCTTTCTTCCAAGGGGTTTCTGGGTAGACTAGAACTGCCAACTTTTCAGTTAGTAGCCAAGTGTCTGTTTGTACCACCTAGGGGCTCCAGAGGGACCTTTAGGATGGGAGAGATAACCACATGTCTCAGGGCTGGTCCTTGGGAGATGAAGGAGTACCAACTGGTGGTCTCGCATGTGTGGGTGAGAGGGATTGTGACCAGGTGAGGTGACGCTCATCCTGGAGCCTGAGACAGTCTGGGATACCGCACATGGGGTCCCTGAATGCTGGTAATGATGATCACGCTCAGAAATGCTCAGTTTGGACAGTAAATGATTGCACCCCCTTCCTTCACTACTACCCACTGAATCTGGGCTGAGTGGGAATGGCTCCCCCATTGACCAGGACTTGGGCCAGCAGGGAACTCTGGTGGGCAGAAACGCAGCCACGAGCATCAACATGCAGATGAGGGTATCTCAGTCTCCTTGGGCTGCCATAACCAAGTCCCACCATGAGAGGGAGCTCTAGAGAACAGATACTGATTCTCACTGTTTAGGGAGTCTAACTCAGGGCATCATCCGCCATGTTGATTCCTACTGAGACTCCAAGGGAGAATCTGTTCTGTGCTTCTCTAGCTCGTAGTGAGTGACAGCAGACCATAGTATCCATCTGCTTCTGTGTGTGACCCACCCCACTCCCCTGCCTGTTCTCCCCTTTTACAAGAGACTTCTCAAAAGGGTTTGGGATTAGCACCCTATGCCAGCATGACTCCATCAACTGATAATCAAAGGGAACCAATCTCTCTTTCTCCAAACAAGGGTGCTTTCAGAGGTGCAGGTACTGGGACTTTGGTGTGCCTTTTAGGGAACACAGTTCCATCCATAAAGGGACCAGAGGAGCTTGTACAAGCCATTCTTCCATGACCCTTAATGCCTGCCACCACACAGCTCTGTGCTGTGTCCTTGGCCTCTGTGAAACAGAGACACCTGGCCAGGTGGAGATCGAGACAGGTGTTAGGTTTCCACACAGAACTTGGCACACAGAAGACTCGGTGTCCTTCCTCTCCCTGTGGCCTCCTCGCCTGTGCCACCCCTTCCTCCCCTAGGCTGGGGTGTAGCTAGGATGTGGTCCCTGTGGCCACATCCACCATCGCCAGGGCCTGCAGTCTTCTGTTCCCTCAGCTCCTGCCATATCTGAATGAAAGTTAGGTGTGTCGTCCAGGCCAGTTTGGAACTGGGCCTCACTTGGAGGAGCCCTGAGGACAGGTGGGGGTCTAGAGACAGCATTGAAGGGGGTGGCCAGAGGACCAAGGTGGAGAGAGACAAAGTCACCTGGTGGGGAGTAGGGAGGGCTAAGGGCCAGAAGCCTCACCAACTGCAAGGTTTCCATGTGGCTGCTTGCGGATGAGAGTAGAGCTGGGGAGAGGTCACGGCTACAGCTCAGAGTGTGGGTTTGCCATAGTGTCTTGGGGACTCCTAGATGTAGTTCAAGCAAGGAGTGGTAAGTGTCTCTTTTAAAATTGAGATAAAATTCACTTCACAGAACTCTTGTTGGTTGCATTGGAGTTGATTCTGACTCAAGACACGTGTGCAGAATAGAATCACTCCATAGGGTTTTCTTAACTGTAATCTTTGCAGAAGCAGATCACCAGGACTTTCTTCCATAGCGCTGCTGGGAGGGTTCAAACCACCACCCTTTCAGCTCATCGCTGAGCCCTTCACCATTTGCTCCACTCAGCGGTTCCACTCAAGCACTCTACTTGGAACGGGAACCATTCAGTGACATTTAACCCTTTGGTGTTGTGCCACCACCACCTTTATCTAGTTCCAGAAGATTCTCAGGACCCCAAAAGGAGGCCTATACCCATTAGCAGCCACTTCCCACCCCTCTCCTTCAGTCTGACAGCTGCTCATTTGTTTCTGTGTCTATGGATTTGCCTGTTCTAGACGCTGCATATGAATGGAATCCAACAATACGTGGCCTCGTGTGCTCATTTCTCTCACTGAACGTCATGCTTTCAAGATTCATCCATGTTGTGGCTTCTTTCCAAACCTCGTTCCTTGTTATGGCTGATAGTTTTCCCTGCTAGCCGCAGTAGAGAGTAAGCCAAAATGGCATATAGTGAAGAAGAAATTACCATTAATGTATGTGGGAAACATCTATAGTGCAGCCAGAGTGCTCCTTAGAGGCCAGGATGGCCAAACTTCGTCTCTCATACTTTAGACATATTGTCAGGAGGGACCAGTCACTGGAGAAGGATATCATGTTTGGTAAGGTGGAGGGTCAGAGAAAAAGAGGAAGACCCCCAGCAAGATGGATTGGCCAAATGGCAGTATCGATGGACTCAAGCGTGGCAACCATTGTGAGGTTGGTCCAGGACTGGGCAGTGTTTCGTTCTGTTGTACATAGGGTTAATGGCACCTAACAACAACAACAGGTCCAAAAATAGTGTACCGAATCACAGAAAATCTAAACTCACACTAACAGCACTCACAGACACATTCCTAAGTTATGGCGACTTGATGCAGAGATGCTGGTGTAGTTCCTGGGGAAGGAGCTTGGGGGCTGCCTCTTTCACTACTTGCTGTAAAATGCTAAATGCTAGTTCAGCTTCTCATCTTGTTTCATAAAAGCAAAGGAGCATAAAGTGCACTTTTGAAATGCAGGGGATACTAGTATTCCGTTGTGTAGATGGACCACATTGTGTTTAGCCAGCATTTGTTGATGGACACTTGGGTTGTTTCTACCTTTTGTCTGTTGTGACTTGTGTTGCAGTGAGCATTGATTTATCAACTATCTGAGTCCCTGCTTTCAGTTCTTCTAGGGACATATGTCTGAGTGGAATTTCTGGGTCCTGGGCTAACTCTATGGGGAGTGTGGATGCTAGGAGCAGGTGGCAAAGGCCAAGGAGGTGCCAGGGCAGCGTTGAGTGGGAGATGGCCCAGACCAGGCTGCGAGGTGACAGGGACAGAGGGATGTGGACAGGAGGGAGCCCTCTGTATGGGGTCCAGGAGGGTCTCAGCTGTGCAGATGAAGAGATATTACCAGAGCAAGCGTGTGGGAGCCATCCGAGGGCAGCTGAGCTTGGGGGTGGAGAAGGGACATAGAGGCCTAGTCGCTGGTCACTGAGTTCAATGTGGGGAGAGCTCCAGATGGAATCAGGGGTCCGCTTTGGAGGGTAGGTGGTGAAGGGCACCCACAGGGGGACAACCTAGAAAGCTGCAGGTCAGTGTGGCCAAGGTAGTGTGGATGAGGTATGGAGAGGGCTATGGGATGGTCCCGCTCTGAGCTAGGGGTCCAAGGCACTGGGAAGGCACAGGGCCCTAGCGGGGGTGAGTGGGTGTGTTAGGGAGACTGGGGGAGCAAGAGAAGGCAACATTATGGGTGTTCTGGGAATTCTGCCTCTACTGCAAGTTGGGGATTTGCAGGGAAGGGGAAGCTAGGAGGCTAGCAAGACAGGGTGCCTGAGCTGCTCAGAGGAGAATGTGGAAAGTGGGGGCTGGAGCAACAATGGAAATAGTACAAGTGACTGAGACATGTCAGGGCATGGGGTTCCTCAGTCTCTTTAAGAGTCAGCTCATAACAATGTATCAGTACTGGTTCAGAATTGTAACAAACAGATCATGGGGTGTCCCTGGCCCTGGGTGGTGCAAAAAACACTGTTTGACTACTCAGATTGGAGGTTCGTGTCCACTCAGAGGCACCTCAGAAGAAATGCCTGGCAAACTATTTCTGAAACAAATCCACCATTGCAAACCTTATGGAGCACAGTGCTACTCTGATATACATGAGACACGAGTCAGAATCAACTTGACAGCAATTGGTTTGTTTGTTTTCTGGTAATAATTGGAGAAACGGTGTGTGTGTGTGTGTGTGTGTGTGTGTGTGTGGTAGCATATAGGAACTTTCTCTTCTATTTGCTTAATTCTTTTGTCAACCTAAAAGGGTCTAAAAGATAAAGTCTGTTGATAAATAAAACAACAGCAGGTAGAGAATTAGGAAAGTAGAGGGGACAGGGGGCCATTCATGGGCCCTGAGCGTCTGACATGGTTTTTGCAGACTGGAAGCCGGGCATGGCAGTGCCGTGGGACATCTCAGCAGCTTACCTCCTGCAAGGCAGCTTCTACGGCCACGCCATCTATGCCACACTCTACATGGACGCCTGGCGTAAGGACTCGGTGGTCATGCTCATACACCACGTGGTCACTGTGGTCCTCATTGTTTCTTCGTATGCTTTCCGGTAAGTGAAGGACTGGGATGGAGCAGTGAGGGAGGGGGTGTGGTGGGGGAGGGTTGTGATCAGGAACCCCCAAAAACGGGAGAGGCTGGAGAAAGGAAACCTTTGGAGGGCAGGATGAGGTTAGAGGTTACAACCCCACCCAGCATCTGTCCCCCTCAGATTCCCACCTGAGCGGGGGGGTGTGGCAGAGGCCACCAGTGCAGCCACCATTGGCCACTGGTGGTCTGAGCAGTTGAGCCAGACCTTGTTTAAGCTTTGAGAGTCACCGCTACCCCGTGTGGAAGGTTTCATGCAAGCGTATCAGTGCAGGCGTTTCAGTGAGGGATCATGGCATCCTGATGACATGCTGAGATGATGAGAGACTGAGTTACTTCTATTATTAAAGTGAATTTGGCCTGTTGCTTTTATTTTTTTAGTGCCGCTGTAACAGAAACGCCACATGGCAGGTTTTAAAGAACAGGACTGTTTTGTCTCACCGTTCCAGAAAGCCAGAAGTTGGGTTTCAGGGTGTGGCTGGAGGGGAAGGTTTTCTCTGGTGCCACTAGACGAATGGCCTGTCCTTGCAGCAGCTCTAGCCACTGTGTTGCTGGATTCCTTGACAAGCTTATCTTTCCTACTTTAGTGCTAACCTTTTTCTGCCTAATCTGCTCCTTTCCTGTCTCAAAAGTGAGTCCTGGTGTGGCATTGTAGGATAATGCACTGGACTGAAAGGGCGGTTTAAACCACAGTGTCAGCAGTTCAAACTCATCAGCCACTCCTCGGAAACCCTATACAGGGGCACTGTGAGTCAGAACCAACTTGAGGACACGTAACAAGGACAACATTGATAGGGTCTTATTAACATACAAAGAAAACCATATTCCCAGTTGGGATTATACTCACACATATTTTTAGGGGACATCATTCAACCTGGAGTCCTGGTGTGGCGCTGTAGGATGAGCACTGGAATCCACAGTTGGTTTGAACCACGAACTCAGTGATACAAACTCACCTGCCGCTTCTTGGAAACGCTACACAGGATTGCTGTGAGTCAGAACCGACTCAAGGTCACTTAACAACAGCAACAACATTCGATCCCTAAAAGCTGGTGTTTTTAAAACTTTTTTAACATAGTGGTTACGAAGCAGGCTGCTAACCTCAAGGTCGGCAGTTCGAAACTACCAGCTTCTCTGCGGGAGAAAGATGAGGCTTTCTGCTCCTGTAGAGATTTACAACCTCGGAAACCCTGTGAAGGGTCACTGTGAGTTGGAACCGACTCCACGGTACTTAACAACACAACAACTAGAAAACTTAAAATAGTGTATGTGCTTCTTTCTAGCCAATAAAGTTGCCTGGCCATGGGGACTGATTCAACTTACATGAATTAAATGTAAATTAAACTAAATGTTTCGCTCCTCAGCCACATTCGCACCAGCCACATGTCAAGTGCTCAGTGGCCACACATGGCTGGTGGCTCCAGTCTTGTCCAATGTAGGTACAGAACATCTTCATCATTCTAGAAAGTTCTGTGGGATAGCACTGTTGTAGAGGGTGGAGACAGATGTTAAAACGGGGGGGGGGGAGAGATTGAAAAAAAGAAACCAATATTTTATCTAAAGGTGGTGAAAACTGTAGGGAAAAATCAAGTCAGAGGATGAGGACTGGGCAGGGTGTTGCGGGTTTAGGTGGGGAGTCTGGGGTGACAGGTAAGCAAAGTCAGAAAGGATGTGAAGGTAAGTGTTACAACATATGCAAAGGCTATGGGCCAGGAGCACAGGATCTGTTGGGAGAGCTGGACAGAGGCAGTAGGGATCCTGTGAGAGGAGCAGGGAGCGTTGTTAACTTGGGGAGCTGAATCCAGGCCCCTTGGTTGGGTGGCTTGGAGGTGAAAAGGTGGGCGCATCTTTAGAAGCCCCACTGGGGACACAGAGGTGGCCTTTGCTAGGCAATCATTTAGGTAGCTGAGACATTGACACTACAACTGAGAAATGCACTCCTGGTGAGACTGGACAAAGGTCAGGGCTTGGGAGACAAACGTGGGTCAGACACTCAAGACTCCTGAGCCCACCAGGACAGTGAGGTGGAAGGGCAAGGCGCTGGGTTCCTGGCAGGGAGCGTGCAGCCAGGACCCCAAGCGTGAGCTGCGTGCTCCCACCCCCAGGTACCATAACGTGGGGGTCCTCGTGCTCTTCCTGCATGACATCAGTGACGTGCTGCTCGAGTTCACCAAGCTCAACATATACTTCAAGTTTCGGGGCGGGACCCACCACCGGCTTCACAAGCTTGCTGCTGACCTGGGCTGCATCAGCTTCTGTGTCAGCTGGTGAGGGCCGTGGGGGGCTGCGGTAGAGGGGGTGAAGGGTGTGGGGAGAGAAGGGCTGGGACAGGGAGCCCAAGAGTGGATGGACAAGGACTGATGGGATAGGCAGGAATAAGCCAGGTTGGGCAGGAAGGAATGGGGCCGGGATAAAGTGGGGATTGACCCAGGCTTAGGAAAGGGCAGAGATGGACAAGCACAGATGGGGGCAAGTCAGGGAAGGAATAGGACAGGAAGGGATGTGGCCAGGGGAGAGGGCAGGTTGGGGACCCAGCAGGGATGGGTGGGTGAGGTCATGAGAAGTAGGTACAGGCAGGGAGCAGACACAGCCTCTACCACAGCCTCTGACCACTCCTTGTGCTCCAGGTTCTGGTTTCGGCTCTACTGGTTTCCACTCAAGGTCCTGTATGCCACATGGCACTGCAGCCTGCGCTCCGTGCCCGACATCCCCTTCTACTTCTTCTTCAATGCACTGCTCCTGGCACTCACCCTCATGAACCTTTACTGGTTTCTGGTGAGTCTTCCCTCCCCTCCCCTGGCTCCTCCCGCTGCTCCTTCCTTTCTTACTCTCCTTTGGTCTCCTCCTCCATCTCCCTCTGGGGGCCCCCCATGACCCTTACTGCATCCTCACTCGCCTCTCCCCCACAGTACATCATGGCCTTCGCTGCCAAGGTGCTGACAGGCCAGATGCAGGAGTTGAGCGATGTGCGGGATTACGACTCTGTGGTGGACACCCCCAGTCCCAAGCCAAGTAAAGACGAGTGAGTATGCACCCCGCCAGCATGAGTAGGACCCAACCAGAGCACTGTCTGAGGGCTAGCCCCAAGTTATGGACCAGGCGGACAGATAGACTCTGCCCCAGGCCACATGTACAGCTGAGCCTGCAATAAAGGCATGTACAGATGGCCTCAAAACAATAGTTAATGCTGAATGAACAGTAACAGGAGGCGGGGCTGGAGAAGCAGTGGGGCTGGGCAGTGTTGTGTTGTACAGGAGTGCGCAGGGGCAGGGCCTGGGTCTTGAAGAGGAGTCTTGAACTGGGCCAGGCGCTGGCTTCCTCCCCATGTTCCAGCAAGAAGGAATGATGGGTATGCAAACCAGAGGGATGCTAGGGTAGTGAGGCCCAAGCTCAATGCACACCACGCCAATGCTGTCCTGGACTTAGACCCCAATAGGAAATGGAGCTGGGGGCTTCTCTCAGTGGGCATCTGAAGGAGGCAGAGAATCAGCGTCCTGAGTGTGAGCCAGGGGGCTCAGAAACCCTAAGTCAAGGTGAGAGCCCAGGAGGGCAGAATAGGTTGGAGGTAATGAATTGGGCCAAGGAGCAGCTCCCCAAGGCAAGTTAGGGAATATTCTAGAAGGAGCAAGTGTTGGTGGGAGGGTGCTGAGGAGCCCAGAGGGTATTACTGGGCCCGAGTCTCTGATTTGGTGGAGGCAGATATTCGTGGGCATCTGGTGGTTTTGGGACGTTGTGAGGATCAGGGCTTGACTGGGGATCCAGAAAAAAGGGAGACCAGACAGAGATCAGAGATGAAAAAAAACAACAACTCTTGAAAGGCTCAAGAGTGGGGAAGCATACCACTTAATAACTGTATGCATCTGCACCCCCAAACTTGGGCTGACAAGTGTACAGGGTGGGCAGAGGCTCAAATACCTGACTGGGGCTGGAGTGGGCTTGGGCAAAGAGTGCAGACTGGACCAGGACACAGAGAGGGCTGGGTAAAGCACAGTGCCCATGGTAGGGGGACAGCTGACCAACTTGGGGGTCACCACATTTGTCACTGAGATAGTCAGGTGGCTGGAGCCAAGAGCAGTGTGGGGTCCCCTTTCAGCTCCGTGTTTAAGGTGGCTCAAGCCAAGCTTGCTTTGGATGTAGATGAAACAGCAAAAGGACTTAACAATGGCAGACCCCAAATTTTGGGCTCTAGCTGTTGTCACCACAGTGGATCCTGGGGAGAGCTGAGTGTGGTGGAGTGGGGAGTTGGGAGTCATAATTGAGGTACCTTCCATGGAGACACCCTGTAAAAATGGCATGAGGGCAGTGTCTGACCTCTTCTGGCTTCATAAGGGGGAACGAGAATCACCATCAGCTCAAGTCTGATTCCTATAAGGTGGAGATCAGACATGCCTCCACACTCCAACCTTTTTTTTTTAAAAAACCAATTCTGAAACCACTATCCCACCCAAGGTACTCTCTACTTCTCAGCTGGATTACCCACTGTATTGGTCATAGGGAACTCACAAACAATACTCACAATTATGGGGCTTACTAGGGAAGTTAGGTTATAATTCAGGATCAGAAATGCTCAGGACACAGTTCTCTCATTGGTCTTGCACCTCTAAGCCACACCATGCCTTGGCCTCTGCCCTGTTTAGGCAGGTGTTATGAAGCTCCTTTAACACCGCTGATAAATTCCCAAAGGGCATGCTACTCCACCATAAGCCTCAGCCTGAAGCTGCTCAGCTCTAGCTTCATAGGTCAGCAAACCAGAAAGACAGTGGTGGCTTCACCCGAGGTGCATTGGTCAGGAATCAAACCAGGATCTCCCACAGGAAAGTTGAGAATTCTACCCTTTTGCCACCACTGCCCCAACAGTCATCACGTTGTTATGAGGCTCTGTGAGGTCATTGTGTCTCATAGTGACCCTATGCACAACAGAATGAAACAGTGCCCAGTCCTGCACCCTCCTCACAAGTGTTATGTTGTCTAAACCATTGTGACTGCCACTGTGTCCGTCCATCTTGTTGGGGGTCTTCCTCTTTTTTGCTGATCCTCCACTTTATCAAGCATGATGCCCTTCCTGATAATGTCCAAAATACAAGAGACAAAGTCTTGACCTCATGGGCTGTTAAGGAGCACTCTGGCTGTACTTCTTCCAATGCAGATTGTTTGTTCTTTTGGAAGTCCATGACATTTAAAATATTCTCCTCCAACACCATATTTCAAATGCATCAGTTCTTCTACGGTCTTCCTTATTCATTGTCCAACTGTCACCTGCCTATGAGGCCATTAAAATACCATGGCTTGGCAGTGATGCCTGAGATGGAGGCAGAGACGATGACATGGAGAGATGGAGCAGCTGGGAATTTTAGACACAGAAAGGGAGAGGGGCTGTGTGCTGATGACCGGGGGAGGGGGGGAAACGGGGCAGGCTTGTAGGGTACACCCTTTGGTTGGTTGATGATGTATGGAGGGGATTGTAATCATGGCAATGAAACAATACACAATAGGATGACTATAAAACTAATGTTCTCCAATGTAAACTATCACATAATTCACAATAAAACATTTAAACAAACAAACAAAAAAAAGCACCATGGCTTGGGTCAGGCATACCTTAGTCATCAAAGTAACATCTTTGCTCTTGAACACTTTAAAGAGGTCTTTTGCAGCATATTTGCCAATTCAGTACGTCATTTGATTCCTTGAGTGCTGTTTCCATGAGTGTTGATTTTGGATCCAAGCAAAATGAAGTCTGATAACGTTAATCTTTTCTCTGTTTATCATGATTTTATTTATTGGTCCAGTTGAAAGGATTTTTGTTTTCTTTCCAGTGAGGTGCAGTTTATACTGAAAGCTTAGTATGTGATCTTCATCAGTAAATATTTCAAGTTTTCTTTGTTTCCAGCAAGCAAGGTTGTATCATCTGCATATCACAGGTTGTGGATTAGTCTTCCTCCAATCCTGATGTCATGTTCTTCTTCATATTAATTTCATTAGATTTGCCCAGCATATAGGTTGAATAAGTATGACATACACTTTATATTTTTGTTGTTAAGTGCTGTCTAGTTATTTCCGACTCATAGGGGCCCTGTATAGGGTTTCCAATGAATTGTTGGTAGTTTTAAACCGCTGACCTTGTGGTTAGCAGTCCAGTGCTTATCCTACAGCATATCTCCATGTATATTGTTAGATACGGTTGAGTCGGTTCTGTCTCAGCAACGCTGTGCATAACAGAACAAAACATTTCCCGGTCCTGTGCCATCCTAACAAGTTTTGCTACACTTGAGCCCATTCCTGCTGCCTTTGCGACATCTTGTTAGGATCTTCCTCTTCATTGCTGACCCTCCACTTTACCAAGCATGATGTCCATTCATATGTTGTTGTTAGGTGCTGTTGGTACCAATTCATAGCAACGCTATGCACAACAGACTGAAACACTGCTCAGTCCTGCGCCAACCTTACAATCATTGCTACGTTTGAGCCCATTGTTCCTGCCACTGTGCCAATCCATTTAGTTGGGGTTTTTTCTCTTTTTTTCTGACTCTCCTCTTTACCAAATATGATATCCTTCTCCATGGACTGGTCCCTCCTGATAACATGTCCAAAGTATGCAAGATGAAGTCTGGCCATTCTGGCTTCCAAGGAGCATTCTGGCTATACTTCTTCCAACACAGATTGGTTTATTCTTTTGGCAGTCCATGGGACTTTATTCTCCAACACCATAACTCAAATGCATCAATTTTTCTACTGTCTTCCTTATATACTGTCCAACTTTCACATGCATATGAAGTTATTGAAAATACCATGGCTTGGGTCAGGTGCACCTTAGTTCTCAAACTAATATCTTTGCTCTTGCACAGTTTGAAGATGTCTTATACAGCAGATTTGCCTAATGTGATACATAGTTTAATTTGTTGCCTGCTGCTCCTATGAATGTTAATGATTGATCCAAGCAAAATTAAGTCTTTAAGAACTTCAATCTTTTCTCTATTTATATGGGCGTTGTTTATTGGTCCAGTGGTGAGGATTCTTGTCTTCTTTACATTGAAGTGCAACCTATGCCAAAGGCTGTGGTCTTTGATCTTCATCAGTAAATATTTTAAGTCCTGTTTACTTTCAGCAAGCAAGGTTGTATCATCTGCATATGTTGTTGTTGTTATGTGTCGTGGAGTCGGTTCCGACTCATAGCAACCCTGTATAGGGTTTCCGAGGCTGTAAATCTTTATGGGAGCAGAAAGCCTCATCTTTCTCTCGCGGGACAGCTGGTAGTTTCAAACTGCTGACCTTGCGGTTTGCAGCCCAATTCGTAACCACTATTAGTGCTACCAGCTTGTTAGTGAATCCTCCTCCAATCCTGATCCCATAATTTTCTTCATACAACCCAGCTTCTCAGATTCTGTGCTCAGTATACAGATTGAATAAGTATGGTGAAAGAATACAACTCTGGTGCACACTTTGCTAATTTAAAACCATTCAGTGGTCCCTTGTTGTATTCAAACAATTGCCTCTTGGTCTATGTACAGGTTCATGAACACAATCAAGTGTTCTGGAATACTCATTCTCCATAATGTTGTCCATAGCTTGTCATGGTCCACACAATTAAAAGCCTTTGCATAGTCAAAAAAAACACAGGTAAACATCTTATTCTCTGTTTGCAGCCAAGATCCATCTGACATCAGCAATGATAGCCCTCATTCTACATCCTCGTCTGAATCCCGCTTGATTGAACCTCTGGCAGTTTCTGTCAATGTACATTTCCAGCCATTTTTGGATTATCTTTAGCAAAACTTCACTTGCATGAGCTATTAATGTTATTGTCCACTGACTTCTGCATTCCATTGGGTCACCTCTCTTTGGAATGGTCACAAATATGGATTTCTTCCAGTCAGTTGGTCAGGTAGCTGGCTTCTAAATTTCTTGGCATAGACGAGTGAGTACCTCCAGTGCTACATCAGTTTGTTGAAAGATTTCAATTTATATTCCATTGATTCCTGGACCCTTGTTCTTTGCTAATCCCTTCAGTGCACTTTGGTCTTCTTCC